GACACAGACGTGATCATTCACATAAGGGTGCTAGGTCAGTTCTGTAGATGAAGAGCCAATGACATTACGCTCAGATGTTATAGGCGGCAATGTAGCTGCAAATGGAATTCCCATATTTTTTAAAATGCAAGCTGCTCCAAGATAGAGGAAATATTAAGTGATATGGACGGGATTCCCTCAGGAAATTATCCCAGCTGCTAGCGCCATAAATAAGAGGAAGGAAATGAAAACATTACTCATTGAAGTGGCTTTTCTTAGAGCTGGGGAGGGAGGAAGCGTCAGTGTCCTCGATCTGTTATATTTTCCAGGTGCGCTCCTCTGAAATTATATCCCGGACACACTCTGCAGCCACATATCAGGAGGGCCACTCCTTTTCCTTTGTTCTCCATGAGCCCACTCAAATTTCAGGAGCGGCTCTAATAATGGGCTGCTGGCAATGACTGCAGAAGGACCGGACATGTTGAAGTCCAGGGCACTCACGTATTTTCCCAGGCCCCTTAAGGAGATGGTGAACTGGAATTCTAGCAAAAACAAATGCAAGCCCCATATGTGGCTTGGACTCCATCCTCCTGGGCTGTGTCACGCTGGAATACGAAGGGCCTATCAAAAGCTCATGTCGTGCAATCGTTTTCAGGATTCTGCACAGAGCACCCTCAAGTATCGAGTGGGAACTGCCAGGGGCAACGAGCGATGGAAAGAGGGGCAGAAGAAAGGACCAAACCAAGACACAGAGGGATAGAAAGTGTGACAGAAGTAGAGGGGATGGGATGAGAGAGGGAGATTGATTTTTGTTTGTAATCGTGTTATTGGAGGCTCTTACAGCTCTTGACACCATCGGTCCACTGTGTCAAGCACATCTGGACCTGTGTCGCCATCATCATTTTCAAAACATTTTCTTTCTACTTGAGCCCTTCGTATCGGCTCATTTCCCACCTCCCCTCCCCGCTCCCCACAAACCCTTGATAATTGATAAATTATTACTTTTTTTCATATCTTCTAAATTTATCTGTAAAGCCAAGAATCACTGCCATCGAGTCAATGCCAACTCATAGCAAGGCTATAATAAGACAGGGTAGAGCTGCCCTCTGGGCGTCTAAGACTGCACCTGGTCACAGGAGTAGAAACCCAGCCTCTCTCCCCGGAGCAGGTAGTGGTTTTCAACCGCTGACCTTTGGGATTGCAGCCTAACCTGGAAGCACCACCTCAGCAGGGCTCCTCCGATTTTTTTTCAAGCAGTAAATATTTAAAGAATACTTTTCCTGTCTCTTTGAAGCACCTCGTTCTATTATTCCTGGTTCCAGGTGGTCTGCATGGGAAACAATCCTTGTTTTCAAAGGAAACACACATCATGGGCGGTGTGGTCAAAGAATAAATAAAGCATGGATCCTGCCCTGCTTGCCTGGCCTGCTGTTCCACCCTGTGCCGAACTGTGAGAAACAGGGAACAAAAGCAGAGGACGGAGCTTGGAGGGCTTTGGGGATCTGGTTTGCTTCCGTTCAAATAGGATACGTGGCTTTCTTCCTCCTTGACAGGCACACAGGGCTTCACAGAGAACTGTGACTTGTCATTTGCCGCCTTTTGGGAGGATGGGGGGTCCGAGGCTCCGTTAGTCCTAGTGTGTATTTCTCCCAAATGAGAAGCTGGATCCGGACTCGGGTCTGATTTCTTTTATGGCGTTCTCACTGATTTCTCACCAGGCAGACATTCCATTGTGGTGAGGAAAGGGGATGTGGGAATGGGGGCAGGGAGGCTGGGCTGGAACTGTAGAACTGACCTCTCTTGCAGCTCTCCTACTGAGCGACAGCCAGCATGTCTCAGAGCTACACGGATTGTAGGCTCAGAAGAAGGGCTCTAATTAAGCAATTAAGCTGTCATTGGGAGGTCACTTTAATACGCAGGCTTCGTGAAAGGAAATATAATAGGAGCATTTCCATGCTGACCATATAGAGTCAGCCCCAGCCAGTGGGTCTCCTAGGAAGAAATTCTCACAATGTATCTTTCAAGGAGCCCAAGGTTAATTACATCAGCCTCTCCCTGGTGACTGAGCAGAAAGTGCAAACATCTTACCAAATGAGCTGAAACCCGAGTTGGCTTTCTGATTTGCACCCCATGATGCCACCATCGGTTCAATGAAAAGTTCTTTCATTTTTTAAGAAGTCGGCTCCTCTATTTTTCATTAGAGCAGCATGTCTGTCTAGAAAGTGCATTTCTGCGATATTATCTACATTCTCATGTGGCTCAAGAGTGAGATTGTGTATCAAGAACAGCGCCAGGGAAGCAATTCAGCACAGCACCATCCCACATGTGTCCTCTTCAATTTTCCGCTGAAACACTGATCATTGCAGGAGGAGAAACAGCCATACTTCATGTATTCAGCCATGCATCTATCAATCATGCATGCATCAAACACATCGCTACCTCTTGGATGCAAAAAACTGCTGGTGTGGATCAAATGCAAGAGGCTGTGTATAACTTTCTTTCATTACATTTCCATTCGTTTCCCCCACTTGCTGGCTTTTGCCTTTGCTTGCAGGAAGTCAGGAGTAATTGCCTGGGGTTACCTGTGTGGGTTCACCGTGCCCATGAGGACCGGTGGGGACCAAGCAAGAAAAGCCCGGCAGTACAGCAATTGTTGTGTGGAGATAGTCTCCTCTCCAGCACCTTGTGTACTTGCACCCAGAGCATCAACAGAACCTCACTGGCTGTGTGATTCTGACTGCGACTTCCCAGATGAGGTCCCCGGTGTCTGCTCCTGCCGCTCCTGCCTCCCTCTCATCTACCTACTCACAGACATACCTGTTTCCCAGGGGTCCACTTTCTGCTGTTGTTGCGCAGGGACACGACTGGATCAACGAGCGGACGAAGATTCCCAGTGTGTGAGTGGTGGGGCCAAGTCCAGACCAGTGCCTGGCCCAGAGCAGGCACCAGGATGGAATGAAAGAGTGGAGCCCAGAGCCATTACCTGACATCGACGCTGGAACGCTTTCCACTTCATATTTGAAACCCTCAAGCAGCAGTTCTCAACCTGTGGGTCGGGACCTCTTTAGAGGTCAAACGGCCCTTTCACAGGGGTGGCCCGATTCATCACAGTAGCAAAATGACAGTGATGAAGCAACAACGAAAACAATTTTATGGTTGGGGGGCGGTCACCACCACGTGAGGAACTGTATGAAAGGGTCATGGCACAAGGAAGGTTGAGGACCACTGTCCTAAAGCTTAGCGTTTACATTCATAAATGTAGTCAGTCGGCGTATCGGATTACAGAATTCAAACTGATTACAAGCTAGTTCTACTTTTATCTTCTGCCTCTTCAGATTTTGCTACAAAAACACTTGTTAGAAGGCTTGAGTCGAGACCCAAAGCCCATTAGTAGGCCACTGGAGATCCCCTTGCAGAGGGGTCTCGGGGAGGAGATGAGCCAGTCAGGGTGCGATGTAACAATGATGAGAAATACAACTTTCCTCTAGTTCCTAAATGTTTCCTCCCCGCTCCCACTACCATGACTCAAATTCGACCTCATAAGTCTGGCTAGACCAGAGGAGGTACACTGGTACAGATAGGAACTGAAAATACAGGGAATCCAGGACGGATGAGCCTTATAGGACCAGTGGTGTGAGTGGCAAAACAGGGAGGGTAAAGGGAGAATGGGTAGGAAAGAGGGAAGCGATTACATGGAACTGTGTGTGACCTCCTCCCTGGGGGACAGACAACCGAAAAGTGGGTGAAGGGAGACGTCGGACAGGGCAAGATATGACAAAATACCCATTTATAAACTATCAAGGGCTCATGAGGGAGGGGGGAGCAGGGAGGGAGGGGAAAAATGAGGACCTAATGTCGGGGGTTTAAGTGGAGAGAAAATGTTTTGAGAACCGATGTACAAATGCGCTTTACACAATTGATGTGTGTATGGATTGCGATAACAGTTGTATGAGCCCCTAATAAAATGTAGAAAGAAAGAAAGAAGGGAGGGAGGGAGGGAGAGAGAGAGAAAGAGAAAGGAAAGGAAAGAAGAAAAAAAAAAAGAAGGCTTGAGTCACAGTGCTGGCCCTGCTTTCAATTGCCATGGACTTTTGCTCTGACGACGGCGAAGGCTCCTTACAGGCAAGGGTGGGATGACTTCATCGCACAAACTTTGGACATGTTATCAGGAGAGACCGATTCCTGGCGAAGGACATCATGTTTGATAAGGCAGAGGGGCAGCCAACACGAGGAAGGCCCTTCCCAGATGGCTTGACACAGGGCTGCAACAATGGGCTCAAACAGGAGAATCATTGTGCGGGTGGCACGGGGCTGGGCAGTTCTTCCTTCTGCTGTGCGTAGTCACTGTGAGTTAGAGCTCACTCAACAGCATCTCCCAACCATGACTGTGCGCCTGAACATTCTTATTTTTAAAACAAGGAGGGCAATATGAAATGATCTTCTTAAATTAATATTAAAAGATCACTTTCTGGGGGGCTCTTCCAGCTCTTATCAAAATCCACACATCAACTGTATCCAGCATATGTGTACATCTGTTTCCATCATTCTTTTCTAAACATTTACTTTCCATGGAGCCTTTGGTATCAGCTCCTCTTTTTTTCCTCCCAGGAAATGATCTTTTTCATATTCACATTGCATTTATCTATATGTCAGTGACTGTCAATCAAGTCACTTAAAATTATTTCCATATCTTATGATTCAAGCTGTTACAGAATTTTTAAAAAAGAATATGTAGAAAATGTTGAAATGGTATATGTTTTCCTGTGTATATCTTCACCAAAAATAAAATTAAAAGCGTGGTGGCATGCCCTACCCAAACATAATTCACGTTGCTATTGAATAGTACACTTCAAAGCATGAAAAATCCCCTGGACCAAACATTATCTGACAGCATCATTGGCAGATGGGTGTTTTTTCTCTTTGCTAATGGCTCTGTCTAAGCAACAAGGCCAATAAATTAATTTTAATGTCCCCAGGATAAACGATCGACTTTGTATGAATTTAAACTCCAGAGATGTTACGCAAGATATTGGACCTTCTCTTAAGTTTCACATCCAGCTTCCAGTTGGCTACAAGAGAGATGGCCGGCGCCTCGATGCTCGCCTTCACGACTCCCTGGACAACAAATTATAACTTGGAGCCTAGCTTCAATCTTGTGAAGGCACTGCCTTGCCTGGTTTCAAACCTCTGCAGAACTCCCACCCCCATAATTGGGTCCACTTGGCAACCCACAGCAGACGTCTTTCCCAATTTATGGGCAAGACACCCATAGATTTGTCCCAAGTTTACCCAAATAGTCCTTTTTTTTTCCTTCACATTTCTTTAAGTGTCTGTAAAATCTTTTTTTGCCTATTTAATATGAGGTACTATTTTACCAGCAAGCTTCATACTGAGTTCTTCTTTTATTGAAAAACTTGCTAACCTTGGCTCTTAAGTCCAGTCCATTATGCCTCCCTTTCTTCGATTGGCCATTGAGCCTACCTCTCTGGGGGCACTCATCCTTAACATTGCTACGATTATGGCTAGCATCAACAGCAAACTTTCTATATGATAAGTAGGTCCCCTACACTGTTTCAAATAAGTAGGTCCCCTACATTGTTTCAAATATCTTGACAACAAAGCTGACACAGGCACTACTATTATTATCCATATTCCAGAGTTGAATAAATTAAAATTGAAAGACTAATTGTCTCCCAAGTAACACAGCTGGAAAATGGCTTAGCCTCAGGCCCATCTTACCACAGAGTTACATTTATTTATTCTTGTATTTAAAACATTTTATTGAGGGCTCTTACAAATTTTGTAACAAGCCATACATCAACTGTATCAAGCATAAGGAAATGTGGTGAAGAATGCAGAGGGTGCCCGGCTATCAAAAGATGTAGCATCTTGGGTCTGAAAGGTTTGGAAGATAAACAAGCAGCCATCTAGCAGAGAAGCAATAAAGCCCAAATGGAAGAAGCACACCAACCTGTGTGATCAGGAGGTGTCACGGGGCCCTGGTAACGGGCATCAGAAGACCCCAAACAAACCATATTGTTGAGAACAAGGGGGGTCAGAGCAGAGACCAAGAGCTACATTTCTTAAGCAGCACACTAACTGGCACTGGTAGAGTAGTTCACATTCGTAATGTTAACTTTTTAAATGAATGTTTCCATGAAGTGCATCTGAATACTCCACTTGTCTGCTGACTAAAACACACCAACTACTTCAAATGGGATTCTCTGATTCTGATAACTTGTTTGAACTATGTGTTATATTTGACCTTATTTGCAAAAACCTGTATTTGACCTCATCTTCCCATCCATTTTGCTATCCTATGTAACAGTCCATGTGAATTTTCACTTCCTGTCTTTTCCTTCCTGTCTGCTTAGCCAAGGCTAGCTGCATGCTTCCTTAGGCCAGTGATTAATTTAACTTTAAAATAAAGAAATAAAGCAATTTCTGCATCTATATCCCATGTAGGTGGAAAATAAGCTATGTGATCAAAGGATGGCAAAAAGCCACCACCATGCTGGGTCCAAGGCACAACCCATGCTTTTCTTTGGTCATGCATCTGGACTTGGGCCTTTGGCGACGAGATTAAACTATGGCTGCCATCATGAAGGCTGGAGGGAAAGAGAAAATGGTGAAGAAATGCCTTCCACAGACTAAAAAACGTATGAATCACTGGTCTCTGGCACATTCATACTTCTTTGGGAGACTTAGTCTGTTTCAAGGCTTTATTCCGCCTTCAATGGCAATGACTGTTTCAGTTCCTGATTGGTCATTTCTTCATCCTGAAGATAACATCCCATTGTCTTTCACCTTCCAATTGCCATTGTTACAAAATGAGGATTCAGTCTGTCATTTTTTAGAAGATAATCAGCTATCTGACCCACTGCTGCTTTAAACATTTTTTCCTTTGCCTTCCCTTGTTCTTTTTGTTTTGTTTTATGGGGATGTTCTTTTTATTTAGCTTGCTTGGCAGTTTTTATTTCTTAGTATTCATCTCTCACTGATGTCTTTCATCAGTATTGGAAAAATATCATTATCTCTTCAAGTATTATTTCTTTCTCCTTTCTTTCTGGGACTCCACATATTTGTATGTTATGCCTTTTCTATGTGTTTTTTTGTGTCTTGCCCTCTTATGTATTTTTAATTATTTTATTAATCTATGTTTCATCCTGGGAAGATTCTTCTGATCTTTTTTCCAATTCACTGTATCTCTCTACAGCTCTGTCTAATGTGTCTAATTTGCCAAAAACTGCTTCAACTGAGGTCTTTAATCCAGTTGTTCTCTATATCAGTTCTAAAATTATTCATTGGCTTTTTCATATTTTCCATGTCGCTTTTTTATAGTAGGCAGTTTCTTGCTGAAAGTTTTAAATTTTTAGTTTGACTGTTGTCTCCAAGAGCATGGTAAGCACCAGTGTTTAACAACCCGCCTCTGGTAATATTAGTACACGCTCTGGCATATCAGTGAGTTTGTTTCCATTTCCTCCTACATATGCCTTATTAATGTTATATATTGTTTCCTAAATAAATTTGCCTGTGTGTTGGCTATTGTACATGAAAGGTTACTGGTATTGAAACAAGATCTAGGATGAATTTATCTTTTTTCAAAGTAGATTTTTAATTGCTTTTGCCAGATTCCAGGTGCCTGGATACATTAGCAAGACAAGATCTCCTCTCAGAATTCCCAGATGAGATTTTGGGAAGAACTGACAGGTGACTGAAACTGGACTGAAATCTCTGTGCAGCATATTTTACTTTCATTTTACCACGATCGGGAAAGTTTCACGGAATTCACACCTCACTCAGGTCCTTGACTCAAGCTTTGGCCCACTTTGCCTTGAGGGCTCACAAAAGTGTCCTTTTTCTGGTTAGCAAACACGGTAACACTTATAACAAAAGTAGCTCACAATGCTAGACCCAACATTTATTTATCTTATTTATGAAATTTCACACTACCGTGAGTTCTATATTTCTTAACGGGAATTATTATTCTTCTTTAAAAGATTTATTGGCCTTTAATCCACGTATCATACAATCCAATGGTTCAATCTTATGTGATCATTGCCTAAATCAATGTTAGAACACTTTCTTCTTTTACTCATTTGTTATTAACTTCCCATCCCCCCCCAAATACCCCTGCCATGCTCCCCAAAAACCATTAATTCAGTTATTACCCCTACAGATTTACCTGTCCTGAATTTCCTATCTAGAAACACATACAAAAAAAAACAAAAATAAAAACAGACAAGTAAAAACTAACAATGATAACAAAGCAAAACAGAAAAATTGTGATCTAAAAGAAAGCAGAAAATATTGAAAATTAGGACAAATTTTAACGAAATGGGTCAAAAGGAAGGTCAAACAGTAAGGTGTTCAATTTGAACCTAATGGCATCTGTAGTCGTCCAGTTCCCAAAACACTCTGCCAGGGTAGCAGGCTGTTCATACCACTGGTCTATGATCATAGATGATCATTGTTATTGCTAGTCTGACTTCAGTTTTCTACATCAAGAAAGTTGATCCAAATTAACATTCTAGAAACTATCTGGCTTGTATACTCCTTTGTCTATTTAGGCACCGAAGATTCATTTAGAAGGCTTTAACCTTTTAAAAAGACGAGTGATCTAATCTTGTAAAAATAACACATGAAATCACACCATTAGACGAGAGCACTCTCGAAAATGTGAGTTTTGAGTTTTCTTGAGTGAAATTTGAAAGAAGCTAGCCAGGTGGAGTTTACGCAGGCCAGTGCCAGGAAACGGAAATGTAAAAATCCATTAGTGGAGACATCTGCCTTATATTTGGATAAAATCTAAAAAGACAATGTGAAAGATGGAAGACATTTTGTTTAAAATCCAAACAGCAAAACAATTTAAATCCACGAACAAATGAAAAAGAATACCTCAAAATAAAACCTCATTCACGCCTACAGTAAGCAGAAAATACTAGTGTCAGGAGAGAATGGGTGGATGTAATAGAAACTGTCTTCATCCGACCACCTAAGTAAAGTCCCCTGGTGGGGCAGGAGATAAATGTTTGACTGTGAGCTGCAAGTCCCATCAGTTCAAACCCACCAGCCACTCCAGGAAAGAAAGATGTGTCCGTTAGCATCTATCAAAACTACAGTCTTGGAACTAATCCCTTAGACAGGTTTGGTTTTTGGTTTGGATCAACAAATAGTCATATACTTTCAACTCCACCCCCATCACACAAAATATTCGGTACCATCAGAACACTAAATAGTCCAAGTTGCCAATAAACATGCTGTTCTCAACAAGCACAGAACCCTGAGAGAGAGCGTACGTGATGCCCATTCTGGGCAATGATATGTAAGGTGGGAGGTGGGAAAGGAAAGTGTCTGCGAAAATGTTGCCTTTCTGATTAAATGGGGAACAGGTAGCAGATATAACCAACTCTATTCCTTCCTCCTTTGACTAGATTTGGCTTCAAACAGGAGGTTTGAATCTTCTACAGACATTTTATTTATAAGAAAATGAATATTTAATACACTAAAAATAATAGATCACAAATTGAATGGCTAAATCCTAAGGCTATCTATCTCTCTGTTGATCTGTTGGTAGGTGAACATTAAATGCCTTTATGTTAAGTTACTAATGGCTGGGGTTTTATGAGTTGGCATGGAAGAGATCCATACACATCCACCCAATGAGTCCCATATGGCACTGTTTTGACCCTCGTACGACTGGAAACAATGTTGACGTTTCTGCCACTTACCGCAATACAAGAGTCCTGGGGTTCAAGGTCAAAGTCGGTGAAGTTCAAAAGAACACGGTGATTTTTTTCTACCTGGATGAGCCAGGAACACTCTGAGTTACTCCTGTAAGGACTGGGGTAATTTGGAGAATGAATCTCTCCACTGGGAACATTGAAATTCCCACCACAACCTGTGAATGAGAAGCGTTCAATGAGAAGACATTCTGACATGTCGAACTCTAAACCATTACCTGTAACCACAGGTCAATGCTGTATTCATCCACTCTACCATTAGTGCCGACTCAACATTTTCAAGAACTAAATATCCTTGATGCATTTATCCCCAAAAGATGAAGGATCATATAGACACACTCAGAAAACGACTTCAAATCTTTGAAGTGTGATACAATGTGACGCCAAGTGTGATAAAATCATTAGAAATAAGTGCAAATGAAGCCATGTGTTCAAAAAACCAGGAGCCACCTCTGCACGGCGTCCTCGAAACGATACTGCAATAACAATACAGCTCCTGCACGAATTTTGAGAATACAGGAATCCATGCTTCTGCAAATTATTTACTATGTATCCTTTCAATTTTTTAATACTGAGTGGTACCATTATGGAACCTACGGGTCCAAGATTCCACAAATGAATACTGATCAAAGGGGAAATAACTACAGTAGAGAATTTCGGATTGTCATATGCTCTGTATTTGCTAGAGCTGTGGGTAGTAGATGAACCCTGAAAGTAATATCCTAAGATAAGATTTAACTTTCCATGGAACATATTTCCTCAAGTCTTCTTCAAGCCAAGCAATGTTGTTTAACCAGGAAGAAAACTGCCTGCCTTGAACGCTATGCTCCTCCTCACTCACGGCCTTCGCGGCAATGCTGACTCACAGTTGCCCTAGGACAGACTAGAAAGTGCTGTGAGTTCGGGACTGTAACTCTTCACGGCAGGATAGAGCCCCATCTTTCTCTTGTGGAGCGCTGAGGGCTTCCAACTGCGGACCTTGCAATTCACAGCCCAACAAGCCACCGCGATGCCGCTAGGGCTCCCTCCTGTCCTTCAAGAACTGTTTATCGGGGTTCAAACTGTGCACCCCAACAAGAAAGGCCGGAATCTCAGGGGCCACTGAGTTCAAGTTAGTGAGGAGAAAACTCCTCAGCCAAGGGGGAGGAGAGTGGCTGCAGCGCTTGTAGAACGCCGTCACTGTCACAGGAGTGTCCATGCAGACACTGGGGGACGGATGCAGGTTTTGCTGGGTAGAATCTCAACAATGAAACAAAGTGGACAGAAAAAGTCACTATCTGGGACCGACTGCCCAGCTTTGTTCCTTCTCTGCTGTTATCAGGTTCCTCCTGGCAGAAGCCAAGACCTGGGATGCATCCTTCCTGGATTTTGGTCTTTATCATATTGTGGCACATGAGTATCTCTCACATAGGGACTTTCTGGTCCTGAGTTTCATTCTCCCAAAATGATGGGTCAGACTGCATCTCTTCCAAGTACTTACTAGCCACATAAGTAGCCTGCAATCACCCTGTAGGATTCATCGACGGGATTATTAGGCCGAAGTCCTACTGCAAAGGACATGCCTTGCGGGGATCTACATTGAGGCCAATCTCATACAAGTTTGGCTTGGGGAGACTCCAAGTGAGTGGACTATATGAAGAAGAATGCTACAGGCATCAGGATTTGGGGGAGGCTTATTAAGAGCCTTCGAATGGCAAATGGCCAAGCCTTGCTTGCTGAAAGTGAGGGGGACTCAGAACCACCTGCTGAAGACAACCAAAGATTACAGCCTTCAGTGCGGATTATAACTCAATGTAAGGAAAAACCCAGCTCCTCACCACTGGACCCATATGTAGCATCAGAATCAGTGGAGAAAAGATTGAAGTTGTTAAGGATTTTATCTGACTTGGATCCACCATCAAGGTAAGCAGCAATCAAGGATTCAATGGGTTATGAGTTGTGATGCTAACCCTAAAGTCAGCAGTTCAAACCTACCAGCCACTCTGAGGGAACAAAATAAAGCTTTCTGTTCACATAAGGATTTATATCCTTAGAAACCCAAAGGGCCAATTCTACTCATTCCTTTGCATTGAGATGAGTCAGAATGGATTCAGTAGCAGTGAGTTTGGGTTTGTTAGGGATTCGTTTTGGGGATTTTTGGTATAAGACTATAAGCAGGAAATCACAATATAACAATACACAATAATTTTTGTGTGTTTTTTGGTAAATCTAAAATATACCAACACAAAACCCTCCACTGCTATTGAGTTGAATCTGACCCATCACTCACTCACTCATTCACTACCATCGAGGTGGTTCTGGCTCATAGTGGCTTTATAGCACAGAATAGTACTGCCCCTTTGAATTTCCAAGATTTTAAATCTTTTCCCCAGCCGAAGAGTCTCCAACTGGTGTGTTTAAACTTCTGACCTTGAAGTTAGCAGCCCAATGAGTGGCCCTTCGCTCCCTCAAGGCCCTTTGAGCAACCCTCTCCAGGGATTCCAGGGCTGCAAACCTCTATAGGAGCAGACAGCCTCATCTTGCTCAAGAAAAGTAGCTGATGACCTTGAACTGCCAATGTGGGGCTTAGCAGCCTAACAATTGCCCAAGAGGTCCACCATGGTGTTATTGACCAATTTGCCAATTCACAAACAGGCAATTGATGAATTGGCACAAGTCCCTTAGAGATTAAATATGCCAAGTCAGTTCCCTGCTTCCAATTTCAGCACGGGCTTGACTATTCTAGTTTTCACATATGTAGTGACTCTTTGGAAAGGTAAGGGATTATATGACAAGGTCTTATTCACCATTTTGTAAAACAGTGTCTTCATCATCCCTTTCTGCAAACAGGTGAACTTTTCCTAACAGTTCAGCTAAAGCACTTTGTAATATTTACTGCCTTGATTAGCTCACCTCCAGGGACCGCATGCCAGGAGACGTTGAAGCCTCTCCCATTGATGGAGCTGTCTGTCTTAAACCGGATAGCTAGTTCATTTCCAGTGCTGGAAACTTGCATGGGGTTTTCAGATGATCTGTGGGCACACAGCTGGGCTATCCTCGGAGAGTGGAAATCAGGTCCTCCATAGACCTAAAGTGCGGTAAAAGAAGGGCAGGGGAAAGGCCTCTAATTAAGAGATACATTACATAAAGACTACTATTCCCCACGCTTCTTTTTAATACCAACTCTCGGATTCTATTGTGATTAGAGAGTATCATCTCAGTTTCACTGGGTAGGGATGGCCTAGATATAAACTTGAACTAGATTTTTGAGGGCACTCCTCTGCCTTAATAACACTGTAGACAACAGCAAGGGGAGCAGAGCAACGAAGTCCTCAGGGAATACCACAAATAGACTTTGGGGCAAGGGCTTGGCGCCCCAACAGAATCGACTGGAAAACACTCCTAAAAGGCAACAAACAGTCTTCAAACTAACTACAGGCTTTTCTTTCTTGTTTCTTTTTTTTTTTCGTTTGTCATTGGCTTGTTCTTGTTGTTTCGTTTTATTTTGGTGTTTGGTTTTGCTCTGACTTGCTTTTGTGCATGTTATTATCTCCGTAGGTCTGTCTAAATAAGATAGGCTGGATGAACAATCTGGAGGAGAAAACAATGGGACCAACAGTTCCGGGGGGGACATGGGAGAGGAGGAGGTGTGAGAAAGGTAGAGGTGTTAACAAACCCAGGGACAAGGGAACAACAAGTGATCCAAATCAGGAGGGTGTAGGAGGCCTGGTAGGGCGTGACCAAGGGTAATGTAACCGAGAGGAATTACTGAAACCCTAATGAAGGCTGAACATGATAGTGGGACAAGAGGAAAATAAAAGGAAATAGAAGAAAGAGCTAGGAGGTAAAGGGCATTTATAGAGGTCTAAATAAAGGCATGTACATAAGTAAATATATTTATATATGAGGATGGGGAAATAGATCTATGTGCATATATTTATAGATGTAGTATTAAGGTATCAGATGGTAATTGGGCCTCCACTCAATTATTCCCTCAATGTAAGAATACTTTGTTCTATTAAATTGGCATTCTATAATGCCCATCTTCCCCACACAATCACTGAAGACAAAGCGGGTGCATAAGCAAATGTGGTGAAGAAAGCTGATGGTGCCTGGTTTTACAATTGCTGTATGTATGGATTGTGATAAGAGTTGTATGATCCCCTAATAAAATTATTTTTAAAAAACACTATAGACAACCTCCTGAGAAGTTCCTGTACATTTCAAGCTGAACTGAGTAAATTTACCCACAATCTCCTCTATCCTCCTTTTCCCCACTTTTCCTCTCTTCCTGGGATTCCTTGCTTTCCTTAGCAGAGTGTGCAGATAATAGACGAGTTCTGGGGACACAGTGGCTACGAGCGGGGCTGCTACCCACAAGGTCAGCAGTTCGAAACCACCGGCCACTCCACAGGAAAAAGATGAAGCGTTCTAATGCCGTGTTCTAATCCCGTAACAAGTTGCAATCTCAGAAGCTCACAAGCGGCAGTTCTACCCTGTCCTCTTGGGTGGCTGTGTGTTGGCTCCAACTCGATGGACAGTGAGTGTAGTGGGTTTTGGAGTTTGGTGCAGATAGTACAGGGTGGAGACTGATTCCCTTTTCCTATCGCACCTGTAAAGGAGCACTGGTGGTACAGTGGCGGAGCACTCGGCTATGAAGCGAGAGCTTGCTGGTTCAAGCCTACCATTGCCCTGGGAGAGGCTTGGTTCCAGGCTTGGAACACCGAGGCATCCATCAGGAACAGAGGCAAATAATGTTGGCATAAAAGCATATGTACATGAAAATGAAACTAGTGAAGGCTGTTGATGCCCTGGTTCTTTGGCTAGACTCTTCCACTTACTGTGCAGACTGAATATTTTATAAATTAGGAATTAAACACTGCTTTTTTATCTCTTCAGACGAAGTGGAAATGTAAGTAAACGTGTTCTGGAGCATTCCCCAAATAGGAATCCTATAGATAACTCCTAAGCCTGCTGTCAGCATGTCCGCTGCCAAAAATTTGGCCAGTATCATAAAAACATGTCCAGAAATTGCCACAGACTGCATCATATTGCCTGGGTGACTCCTTATGGATCTATGTCACCTGGCTTCCCCTAAACTGGTAAATGTCAGGACTAGAGACCCAGAAGCCCAACAATACATTCCTCCTAGGATGTAGGAGTAGGTCTTACTCAGAGACAGCCCCTTGCGGCCACTCTCAACCCAGCCTAGTCTCGAGGACATCTCACATAGGGGGCTCTCAACCTCCCTGGGGCCCTGCTGTGTGTGTGTGTGTGTGTGTGTGTGTGTGAGAGAGAGAGAGAGAGAGAGAGAGAGAGAGAGAGAGAGAGATTCCATGAAAGATGAAGCTTCCCAGTCCCACAAAGAGTTAGTCTTGGAAAACAGCAGGGGCAATTCTACCCTGCCTGTCACGTGGCTATGAGTCAGAACTGACTTGGGGGCAGTAGGTTTGACTTGGATTTTGGCGTGCAATAGAAAAGAAGGTATGTGGTGAGAGGTGGGGGTAGAAACACACAGAATCAGTCCGGTCAAACTTGTGCATACATGAGGGATTATTTTTGAAAACTGTTCCCAGGTATATTGCTGTCTGCATCCTTTACAAGCGCCCCCACCCTCACCCACCCCCCCACTTGCACGTAACAGACCAGAACCAGGAGGCACATCTCTCAGTGAGGTTTGTGCGACACAGCACGCAGTGCCGTCCCACCTCTCCTAGCTGCGCCCGTTTCCACCTCTAGGTCCCTCTCGCCCTGCTCCTGGGGCACCCTGGGTCCTTGTGGATCCCAATAAGGGAATCACTCAAGTGCTCTGTGGGGTGAGTGAGTGAGAACAAGAAGCCTACTTTTGGAGAGGAGGATGTGATTGGAATCTATAATGATTTCTTTGTCTGATTAATTCCCCCAAGCCATGAGGGACTGGCCCAAATGAATGAAACTGCTGTTCCACAAAGCGCAGGGGCTGTACTTGCAAAGGAATGAAGCAGGCTGGCCGCTGGGGGTATTTTCATTCGGAGAAGCTGGTGTTTGCGTGGCCTCCCAAGTCCCATCAAAGCAGCCCTGAAGGAAGAGCCCTGTGGGGCCCCCTCCATGGACACACAGGCTAAAGGAGGCCCCAGCGGGCAAGGAGCCTTCCTCTCCGCTTGTTTGGTGTGCTTGAACCTTTTCAGGATAGGTTTACCCCCCACTGGACCCGGGAGCAGTACCCCAGCCTTCAACAGGCAGCATGTGCTTCTAATCATCTAAGCCCAACCAACAGCACATATTTGGGGAGAAAATTGCGCTCCAGGGTTTCGTTCTAACAACAAGAGCTCGCATGTCAGCAAAATAGTCTGTTTTCCCTGCCCGTGGGTCCCCTTGAGAATATAGACATAATGGGTTAGAGTTGGCGGGGCCCGAGACACTTCCTGAAGAATAAATGCTGGCACTTTGGACCTTCTCTGCTCTCCCATGTACGACGACGGCATTCACCAACCACCAGGGCACCGGACCAGACCCAGCTAGGTGCCCCAAGCAGCAACTGTCTTGGTCTCATTGCAGCAGGGCGGGACTTTCCTTTCCTGCGTTCTGTTTGCACTGCTGAGAGTTTTCCCGAAGATTGAAGGGAACACACACACACACACACACACACACACACACACACACACACACACGAGTTTCCATGACAAGAACAAGAGAAAGGCACTCTGGCTTTCCCAAAATAAAACCAATAGTTAGCACATGGCTCTGAAAAGAGGGATGGGATGGAAAGAATGTCAAGGTGTGGTTCCTTCAGCCGATGCCTAAGTGTCGAAGGAAAAGATTGGATCTGAAGTTCAGAGTTATGTAGTAAAACGGCAACGTGAGCGACGACGGGAGGAGAGAGCACATTCCAGAGCCTGTAGTTTTAATCTGTTTGAAACAGTTGGTTCTGCTGTTAGCTCCATTTAGTGTCACAATCAAGGCAGCATTCCGGGTGACGAGTAACCAGGCACTGCTCTTTTCTCTAACTGGCCTTTTTTTTGGACACTAATTTTTGAAAGGAGAGGGAAAACCCCCTCAAAACTCATGGTGATACTTGGTGAAATCCAGGTAAAGCCTCATAATGCCTAATGCCTGGTGACCATCAGGTCTCACTCGGCTGCTCTCCACCACAGAAGAAGGTAACTTTGAACAAATGAGTGCAGAGAGCCAGCAGGACTTTTTAGCCACACAACCCCAGGGGATGACAAATGACAAACGTCTACTGCTACCACGCAGTCAGCCTCCAACACCCGAAGAGAAAAGCAATCTTTTTATCAGTATCAATCCAAATGGATCAGCACATTGCCCACCTGAGTTGGACATGTGCAAAGTCAAAATGGAAGCAAGACATCAACAGCCTGCATCCCTGAGCTTACCAAATGAGCCTTCGCAAAATATTTGAGCAAGGAGCTCAAAATCTTCCCCCAGGCACTGCTTTTGCTATGACCAGGGAGGCCATTGCCATGTCAGCTTGTGCTGTGACCTCTCCCCTGGGCCATTTCGGGCAGACACAGGGACGCTCACTGCCTGCTGCTGCCTGGGGTCCTGGATGTAGTCACCCCGTGCGAGAGGCCGTTTGCAGGAGACAGTCCGGTCTCGGCTTGCTCACGTCATGGATGTGAAAAAGCTCACAGCACAATGAACCCATTGACATCTTGCCACGCGGACAACAATCACACGCACTTATGGCAATATGAACACGAAGAGCTGAGAACATTGCACGTCGCTGTGGACATTGTGTTTATTCCTGGCCCTCGGTAAGTGTTAAGGGGATTTACACAACCAGGGAGTATCCTGGTTGGCAAGGGGACTCGCTGAACATGCCACACGTGTGTGTTATTTCTATTCCACACAGTGAGTGTGAAATTTGGGAAAGGTCTTTTAAAAAGAAAGAAAGAAAGAAAGGCTTGTCCTTGGAACTGACTTGGCCGGAGCACTCACATAAAGACGGGGCTGGAATCTGACCTAAGATGTCATTAGTTCTATATGCCTTAAATGGCACAGCGCTGTCCTCCTTCTGAAAGAAGTGACTAAGTTTAAAGTTCCTCGAGACTGCATCCACTCCGTGAGGACATGATTCCAGAACTCCACCCCCTGCCCCCAAGGAAATAAGTCTGTGATTTAATAAAGTTTCTAAGTGTTATAGCTTCCCATAAAGTACATCATATGAACTGTTGAATCATGGCTGGGATTACTTCTCAGCCCTTTGATTTACTATCTATGTGGTGATAGGGGGAAAATCCCATCAATCTCTCTAAGCATTCGTTTCCATGACTGTTAAATGGGGACAAACTTGATCTCTGATCTCACAGCATTATTTCACATTCAGCTGTGAAAATGGAATTCAAAACATAGCCCTTTATAAATAAAGAGAGAGGTATGGGATGGTAGTGTGCAATCTGAAATGCGGTTGCTTTCGTTTATTCAAAAAACATTTTGTGTATGCTACTTGATGGGCACTCTCTGACCCTAGGTAGATAACATTAAAACAAGTAAGTCAGTATGTAAATAAATAAATAGAAGGAAAAAGAGGAAGCAGGAGAGAAGGAAGGAGAGGAGAGAGTAGAAGGAAACAGCAAAAAAAAGAAGAAAGAACAACAAAAACACACACAGTCAAGATCCTTACCTCCAGGGAGTCATAGATGCAGCTTGCATGCTGCTCCACATCGAAGTCATGGATGGTGAGCTGAATGCTGCTCCCGAGGGCTGTGCTAATGTACCAGACGCACTCTTTGTTGGGGGGGTACTGGTTAGGATAGCCGGGGCTACTGAAGAAACCCATGTCACCAGACAGCTCCCCACCACACCCTGTGACAATAGAAAGGCACCATTTGTTCAATGTACAGATCAGTAATGGGGGGAAAATTTTTTAAATTCAAATAATAAAAAGATAACATAAAAAAAGAAGAGTCCATTTTGGAGAAAACCCAAAGCATTCTAATAAAGTCACACTTGTATACTTATAAAACAATGATAAAAATTATAACAACAACATTTTCAAAAAGTATTGAGTATTGAGTGTGGTCTATTCCTCAGTTATTATTTGCATGGCGTCAAATCTTTGGTACACTGTTTTCAAAGAAAATGTCATTAAAATTTTTATATTTTCCTTGGTATATTTGCATTAGAATTACATGGTTTGAAGTCTGGATAATATGAGCTTTGTTGGACAAATTATGTCCCTGGGTCTTCAGTTTCCTTATATCTAAAAAACTGAGTTTGAGAGGATTTATTTCTAAAGCTATTTCATACTAATAACTAAAATTCTAAATGTTAAACAATCTTTCGCTTTGTACTGATGACTGTAGGAAATTGAATAATAAATCTTGACTAAAAGCTTGATCTATGAAACATATATTAGAAAGTAGGAATACTTTAAAATTAAAAACCTTTATTCCATGAAAGACATGGAACAAAGGTAAAATGAATAAGACAAATCACAGACTAGGAGAAGATATCCAAAATATACAAAGATCTTCTGAAATGGGCAAAAAGAGCTGAAGAAATGCCACAGGAGATGTGCTCACTCCATGTAGTTTTGAGAATGATGAGGACAATGAATGTACAAGTGTGCTTTATACAATTGATGTATGTATGGATTGTGATAAGAGTTGTATGAGCCCCCAATAAAATGATGTTTTTTAAAAAATATGCTCACACATTACCATTGAATGGATTCCATAGGACACAGTAGAACTTTTCCTTAGGGTCTCTAAAACTTTAATTCTCTACAGGAACAGACAGCCTTGTCTTTCTTTCACAAAGAGGATATAGGGGTGTCAAACAATCATATGAAAAGATGCTCAATATCATATCTATAGGAGCTACAAATTAAAACAAGAAAATACTAATACACACTAATTAGAATGGTTAAAATATAAAACCTGACACCATCAAATACTGGCAAAATGTGGAGTAACTGAAACTCAAATTTAACATATGACCAGCAGTCACACTCCTATTTATCTGAATGTGGTGAAGAAAGCTGATGGTGCCCGGCTATCAAAAGATAAGACTCTGTGATCTTAAAGGCTTGAAGCTAAACAAGCAGCCATCTAGCAGAGAAGCAACAAGTCCACATAGAAGAAACACACCAACCTGTGCGATCACGAGGTGTCCACAGGATCAAGTCACAGGCATCAGAAGATGTAAAACAAACAAACAAACAAACAAACAAACAAACACATTGTTGAGAATGAGGGGGATGAAAGCAGAGACCTAAAACCCGCCTGAGACAACAGGATATTCCCTCACAGAAGGGTCACAAGGAAGCGATGACACAACCAGGGCATGGTATAGCTCTGGTGAAACACACAATATTCCTCTGGTTCCTTGAGGCTTCCTCGCACCCCACTGTCATGAACCCAGTCTTGCCTTTCAATTTAGGCTAGACAGGAGCATGAACACTGGTACACATAAGAGCTCACGACACATGGACTCCAGCTCTGATAAACCCCTCAGGAACAGAAATGGGAGCAGAGATACCAGGAGGGTAGGGGGAAGGTGGGGAGAGAAGGGAAAGAAAGGGGAACAGATCACAAGTGACACGTTCCCCCCCCCTCCCCGTCCAAGGGGGAGGAACAACAGAAACTGTGGGAGAGGGAGATAGTGGTTGATATAAGACATGAAAATAATAATAATTTATCAAAGGGTCATGTGGGTGGGAGGGAGGAAGGGAAGGGAAAAAGAGGAGCTGATACCAAGGGCTCAAATAGAAAGAAAATGTTTAGAAAATGATGATGGCAACATATGTACAAATATGCTGGATACAATTGATGTATGGATCGTTATAAGAGCTGTAAGAGTCCCCCCCTAAAATGATTTATCAATAATAAATGAATAAATAAATATAGTACCATTCCTCTTGATTGTATCATTTCTGGCATAGCAATCCATATAATTTGGGGGTACAAAATAGCCAATATCGGCCCATTTCATTGCACTAGTGCCTAGAATATTGATGTGTGTGCATTTTTGAAGACTTGAAATTTTTCTAGATTCATATTTCATACAGTCAAATAATTAATCCAATGATTAATTGATGTTTGTAGCGCTTTCTTCTCATTTTGAGTGGTGTCTCATCAGCAACTGAAAGTCCTGACGGTTAATCCCACAGGCTCTTACTCGACCCTCACAGCTGACTGAGAAGGCAGCAACCTCCTGTAGGGGCCTGCAGGCACGTGGAGGGACAACCCCTTGTCCCTGGTTCTTCCTACCCAACACATGGCCAGCAAGAGCTTAATTTTCTTTGGCACTAATTTCTTCTCTACACATAAGCCCAGCATGTAGCCAACGCTGCCAGTCTCCTCAGCAAGGCCTCTTTTCCCTGGATTTTCAGAACCTTGAACTAGTGTGTGATTTGTAGCAAGGAAAAAAAAAAATCATGTCACAATGGTGTTTCTGTTGTTATTGCTTTAAATGACCAAATGAGGTTTGCTTGTTTGTTTGTCTGTGTGTCTATCTGTTTGTTTTTCCCGAGTTCTCCTTTAGTAAGAAGAGAGAAGGGTTCACAACAAATTAGAAAACTTGAAGCCAATGGATTTGGATCTGTGTGATTGTGAATATGAAGGAAGAGGCAGGAGTTGTCTCTCTTCATGCCTGCAGGACCCTACAGCAGGTTGGAGGAGAATCAGGCAAGCCCTTGGCCAGCCATAAAGACGAACTGGGCATGGGCCAATTCAAGCCCCAGCCAGGTAGGCGGTACACTTGGGCAACCACTAGGCCCCGGTGGGCTTAATTCAGCCAATGGGGTTAAGCAATACCTTCGACCACGCCTCCCAACAAGAAGCCTCAAATACCTTGACCTCAAGATCTCCTGGCTTCTTCCCCTTTGGCTCCTGTCCTGTGTCCACTTGGCCATGCCGTGGTCTCTCTGGCCTCAGGCTACCACGTTTGGGGTGCAGTCCCACGAGGTGTGCCCATGTTTAGTGACTGTAAAGCCTGAAACTTCTGTCCTTTATAAAAACCCATGTGGATCACAAACCAGCCTTCGGCGTGAATTCTTTCATAGGGGAAGCCAAGAACCGCGTGGCATTCCCACCCGAGAAACCTAACAAATACACATGCAAGACTTCAAACTGACAGCAGGAGTTGAACTTTTAAAGCAATAAATGAAAATATCTGTAAAGAATATAGCCAAGAGAGCCCAGTGGAGCAGGTCTGCATTCATACCTGCGGTCGTCAGGAGTCAGGGTCCGACTCAATAGCAACTTTCAACAGCAACGATCTAAAAGGGATGGCAATGACCTAGACAAGCATTGCAGAGCCCTCATAAAGAAAGTGGTGGTCTGAGGAGGACGTCACCCAGGAGTAAGCAATGGAAAGATGAATGGAGTCTTCGGAGAGTTCCGACTTGGGGAAAACTGGGGTTAGCCGTGGTGGCTCTTTGTAGGCAAATGAGAAGAGAGGGTTTTCCTGGGGAGACAAGCTCTCAGACTGCTTGAGTTTTCATGGCTGCTTTTGGAAAGAGTGTAGCCTACCGGGTAAAGCATGGGTGATAGCATTAGGCAAATGGATCCAAACCGGCCGGGGTAAAAGTTGAATTTAGCCCCCCCGGTTTTCGGCCGTGGGCCTGGGTTCAAGCCCAACAAAACCAAGCCCTAAAACAAAAGGGTGGTGGAGAAAACAGCAAAACAAAGGGCCCAACCAAAGAACCTTTAAAAGAAAAGCAACCCCCGAAAAACGGTTTTAAAATTTAAACAAAACCCAATTAAAAAAGGGAAGAAATCCCAAAAAAAAGACGGAGCTAGAAGAGAAATTACAGGTTAAAAACATGATCAAGAATCATCCAGAGTTTAGAAATGAGGTGTTCCCTAAGCCACAAACAATACAGATAAGTTTATCTTCTTAAGGTAATTCAGTTTTCAAAATGCTCTCGATAAGCACATTATCTTACTTGAAAATGCATAAGAATGTTAATGGCAGGCCCAGAGAAGCATTGAAACTCAAGAGGCTCCGGACTTTAATAAATGGGAAGGCTGGGACAAAATGACCCCTGGCACAGTGCTCTCCCTCTCTGCCGGGTTGAGTACTTCAGCCCGAAGGCAATGGCAATGTTGCATACTGCCCTCAAACAACAAACAAACAAACAAAACAAGAGGATGTATGTATAGCTTGTGATAAGAGTTGTATGAGCCCCCAATAAAATGATTAAAAAAACAAAAAGACACCATAGCAACCTAGAAAAATAAATAAAGCAAAACTCTTTTCATGTACATTCAGACAAATCTGAGAGAATCTATTATGTGCATGAATATCATCAGACACCAACTGACCTGGAGAATCATATGCTTCCCAGTCTTTCCCAAACTCTTAGGGCCTGGTGACTGATAATCTATTTGATTTGAATTGCCTCCAGACGCCCAAGCACCAGCTGAAAGGAAGTGCTTACCTTATCATCAGGAAGCACATTGATCCACTGAAATCATGACCAGGAAGAGGTAAAACTATTCCTAAACCTGCCTGTTACTCATGCAGATAATGGGTTTTGAGGTTTCACATGAGAACTTAGCTAATCCTTTTTTTGTAACCCTAGAACAACATTGAAAAAAAAATTTTTTCAAAATAATCTAAGTTCTGTCTTCAACTTGGATTTCCTTTGTTTTGTGCTGTTTTAACAAAAGGGCTTTACTGGAATGAATAGAAAATCTGCAATGAAAGAGCTAAAGGGCCACTGAAAAATTATAGATTATTATTTTCATATCTTACATTGTCCTCTATCTCCCTTTTCCCACTTTTCTTTTGTTATTTGAAAATAATAATCCATAATTTATTAATGGGTCATGAGGGAAGGAGGGTGAGAGAGGGAA